GGCAGCGCTGCCGCGCCTCCTAAGCGGCGCACTATCCAGTGCGCCACTGGGCCGGCCCCTCCACCAACTTTTTGAAGCAGCCTCATGTATACTATGCATGAATTTCTTTTTCTTTCTATGCAATTTCAGGGATAGAAGGTTCATTCTTGATTTTTTTTTCTTATTGAGAACTTTTACCTTTTCACTTAAAGAAAGCACTTTACGACTTCTCTTTGGCATAGTCAAATTGCCAGCATTACTATTCCTGCACTTCGGGGTTGTTATTAAGTCAAGTAAGGGTGATTTAAACAGACGCTGTGATACTGTGACAGTTGACCTGATAAAATAGTTGGCTAGAAAGTGACTGACTGGTGGGTAGTGTAGACAGTGTGGAGATGCTGGACAAAGGGATGATTGACGCCCCACAGGGGATGGTGCACAATTTAAAACTTATGATTTGTTAGTTCTGGAATTTTCCATTTTATATTTTTGGGCTGTGGTTGATGCAGGTAACTGAAACCGTGGATAAGGCGGAACTACTCTGTGTGTGTGTGTATTTAGTGTGTATTAGTTTTGTTTTTTCAACTAGACTTTTTTTTTTTCTCTTTTAAGAAGATGACCGGTAAGGGGATCTTAACCCTTGACTTGGTGTTGTCAGCACCACGCTCAGCCAGTGAGCTAACCGGCCATCCCTATATGGGATCCGAACCCATGGCCTTGGTGTTATCAGCACCACACTCTCCCAAGTGAGCCACAGGCCGGCCCTCAACTAGACTTTTGAAGATAGGGACCATATATCTTTGTTTTTACTGTAGCACTTTGCACAGAATGGGAACTCATTTGTTAGTAAATCCTATATATATATACACATATATATTCATAGTCCCCCTTTTCTCAGCATATTAACTTAGTCAAGTTCCTCATTCCAAAACAATTCATAAAGGAAAATCTTCCTTCCTCTGTTCACCTCTATGCACTATTTTGTACCTCACAGTTTCTGTGATTCAGGAATTTGGGAAGTACTTAGCTGGTTGGCTCTGACTGAAGGCTTGGTTGAGGGCTGGAAGATCTACAGCTCTTGAGAGTTTAGGCCTTCTGCCTACCACCAGCTCTGTTCCTCTTCACATGGATCTCTCTTTAGTGCTGCTTCAGTGTCCTCATGTATGGCATTTTACTTCCCCAAGAGAGGAAGCAAGGAAGAAACCCACAGTCGCCTTATGTCCTCATCTTAGACGTCAGACACTGTCACTTTTGCCACCCTAATTGTTGGAAGCAAGGCAGTTTATAAGCTCTGCTTCGTATTTAAGGGGAAGGGAATTAGGTTCCACCTTTTGAAGGGAGGAGTCTTAGATCATTTGTGGAAATATTTTAAAACCACCACACTATATACAGTGGTCTTCAGACATGTAAGACGACTGGCTGTAATTGAGTAGAGAGCATATTGATACAGCTGTATCCTAAGTGGAAAAACTACTGTGGGTCAAGTATTTCCCACCTTTAAGCTCATGCACCCTGTACAGAGCTGATTGTTCCCAGCATATTTTGCTGTTTAATGTTTCTGCCTGCCTTTGGGCACATAGTTTCAGCTTGGAATTACTTCTAACTTGATGCTCCCATTACAAATCTTGTGAACTACAGTTTTCTTCAAGATCTGGCTCTGGTAGTTTCTTCTCTTTGAAGCCTTCCTGGTTTTTCTCTCAAGCAGACTTGGTGATAAACATTACATTCATTTATTATCCATTCGTCTAGTCATGAAATATTTATTGAGCGTCTCATATGTTCGATTGTTTTAGTGGTGAACAAGAAAAATGTGGTTCCTGCTTCCCTCAACCTTTTACACGTATTTATTATAGCATGCGTACATTTCACTTAATTATTTGTTTACATCTCTGTCTTTCATAACTGAACTGAGCTCCTTGGGCATAGGAACTGTATCTTATCTAACTTTGTGTTCATAATATCTGACTCAGAGTGGTGATTAATGTATTCATAATAAACAGTGAATACATGTTAATTATCTTGAAATATTAGTCAAAATCCTGGCCTAATTGTTCTCTCAGTAATAAAAGATCAGATATATTTAGGTCCTTGTCAGGTACTAATTTGGTTAATAGTTTAAGTTTTTGTTTTTTTAATTCATGCAGAATACATCTTTTGTGTCCTCCCTATAGGCCAGGCAACTTGCTGGGAATTTGGAGTGAAAATGCTTCTGAAACAAAATAGTTATTAAGAGAGTTAAGTTGTGTATGGGTATTTCAAAGTCTAAGGCTTGAAAAAAATAGGCAAGTTTATACTTGAGACTTGCTAAGTGAGTAGATCTCAAATGTTCTCACCACAAAAAAATGGTAACATTGTGAGGTGATGGGTATGTTAATTAGCTTGATAGTGGTAATCATTTCACAGTCTGTGTGTGTATATATATATATAGAGCATCACATTGTATACCTTTTATATATACAATTTTTATTTGTCAGTTATACCTCAGTAAAGCGAGGGGAAAAAAAGATGACAGGAAGACAAACATAAAGAATAGGGATAATGTATAAACTTTTAAAGTCCTAGTTTCTTTTTTGTAGATAATTATACTGTATGTGGTAAGGTAATTTGAAAAACTTTATGTAACCTAGGGAGGTTTTGTGCCATCATTTTGCAATAACAATCTCATGTTGGCTAGGCTGAATGATTTTTTAAGAGTATGTACAGTAAGCCCATTGTGAGGCTCTGAGTGATAAAACTCAGTTAAGAAATACCTGTTTTTTTTTTGTCTTTTTCGTGACCGGTAAGGGGATCGCAACCCTTGGCGTGGTGTCGCCCGCACCGCGCTCAGCCAGTGAGCCCACCGGCCATCCCTATATAGGATCTGAACCCGCGGTGGGAACGTCCGAACCCCGAGTGCGCCATGGGGTCGGCCCAAGACATACCTGTTTTTAAAGAAAGAATATTTTGATTACTAGCAGAGCCTTTGATTTCCAACTACTTCAGAAATATATAAGATGTTTTTTGTCCTCTACATTTTTATTGAGTAAATAATAGTTGCTTTATTGGGCATAGTGACCTGCCTTCGCGAAATTTACATTCTGTTGGGGAATTTGGTTAATAAACAAGTAAGTATACAGATAGACAATATAATTTTAGCGAGCAGAGGATAAATGCTAGGAAAAAGTAAATCATTGAAGCACAGTGAGGGAATGAAGAGTAAGGGAGGAAGGAGGCAGGGATATTAAGCTGTTTTTCAGCAGAGTTGTATGTCAATGATGAAAGTGTGGAACATGAGTCGGTCACTGGGATGGTGTTCGAGAGATAGGCAGTAGTGGAAACTGAGGCGCCAAGGAAGGTACAGTCTAAGAGAATCAGGACTAGCAAGAAACAGTGTGGCTTCATGAGCCAGGGGTAGGACATGAGGCAAATAAACATTTTAGAGGCATGAATTTACTATTTAATCATGGATTCTGCAGGTTATTTTTCCTGTAGGTGATCTGGCATGTCTGGAGACTCCCAGTGGTTGTATTATTAAATGTTAGTTATGTGTATATATATGTATATATAGTTTAATAAAAGAAAGTAACTTTGTGCTCTAGAAAAGCTAAACAATTTTTCCTTCAGTTAAATTTATTTAATATATTCTTTTGCTCTGTTATAAGTATACTCACAATACTCCTGATGCAATCTTTTTTTTTTTTTTTTTTTTTTTTTTTTTTTTTTTTTTTTTTTTTTTTTCCGTCCCCGGAAAGGGCGCCCACCCCC